GCTGTTTTTTGGTTGCAGCCATCATTGTTGTGTGGTGGGCCTGGGCTAGATTCAAACCCGCCACCTTAGGTGTATGTGGCAGGCACCGTAGCCACTTGAGCCATAGGTGCCTAGCCAAAAAAATGTTTTATATTTATAGACACGTAGTGTTATTAAACATCATATAATACAAAAATTTAGATAATAAAAAATTCCTTGTATTTATTTATTTAGATACAGAGTCACACTCTGTTGCCCTGGGTTGAGGATGTGGCTTCAGCCTAGCTCACTGCAACCTTAAATCAAACTCTTAGGCTCAGGTGATCCTCTTGCCATAACCTCTCAGGTAGCTGGGATCATTGGTGTCTGCCACAACACTCAGCTACTTTTTCTATGTTTGGTAGAGACAGGATCTTGCTCTTGCTCAGGCTAGTCTTGAACTTTTGAGCTCAGGCAATCTACCTGTCTCGGCCTTCCACAGTGCTAGCATTACAGGTGTGAACCACTGTGCCAGCCTTAAGTCCCTATTCTTGTCATTACTTTCACTGCTGTAGTTCAGTGCTGTTCTCTTTCTTTGTTTTTATGTGACAGGGTTTCTCAACATATACTGTTGATATTTTGAACTGGATTATAATTCTTTGTTGTGGCAGGATGTAAGTCTTGACTAAGTTGAGCTTCTTTGTTGGAGATAGTAGAAAGTGGAAATCAATTCTGGTTGAATGGAATATTGCTGGTTGGTTTACAGAATTGAAAGGCTAAAAAAACAGGCAAAAAGCAGGGAATGTTAAAGCAACCAGTCACAGTCACTCCATAGGGAGAGTCTAGTTAGAATCCTATGGGCAGCATGGACGGTCGACACAAACTACCATTGTTATATCCAGAACTAATTCTAATCTGTTTCCAGTTTGTTTTGTTATTCACTCTATGTTCAGAGTCCTGGCCTGAAATACTTAATTTGACTGAGCTATTAGACACATCTTGATGATCTCATGACAAAAAGAATTAAATTGACTGAGCTTAAAGACTTGTATGTGTCCATGCTTTAGTTGCCAAGGAAGTGAGAAACATTTTAACAAATATATTTTTCTTTTCTTTTTTTTTTTTTTTTGAGATAAGAGTCTCACTTTGTAGCCCTCAGTAGAGTATGTTGGCATCACAGCTGACAGCAATCTCAAACTCTTGGGCTCAAGCAATTCTCTTGCCTCAGTCTCCCAAGTAGCTGGGACTTTAGGCACCCAACACAATGCCTGGCTATTTATAGAGATGAGGTCTTGTTCTGGCTCAGGCTGGTCTGGAACCATGAGCTCAGGCAGTCCACCTGCTTTGGCCTCCCAGGGTGCTATGATTACAGGCATGAGCCACTGCACCCAGCCTACCAAATATATTTTTCATTAATCTGAATAGTTCTTCCATGACTTTTTTTTTTTAATTTTAGTTTTATTTTTTATTTTATGAGACAGTCTCACTATGTCACCCTCAGTAGAATGCTGTGCCATCACAGCTCACAGCAACCTCAAACTCATAGGCACCTGCCATGGTGCACACCACAACCCCCGGTTATTTTTTGTTGCAGCTGTTGTTGTTTGGCTGGCCTGGGCCAGGTTTGAACCTGCTATCCTTGGTGTATGTGGCTGGTGCTGTAACCACTGTACTATGAGCACCAAGCCCCAGGACTTTTTTAAGCAGCAGTGATTTATTGATAGCATGGCTTAACTAAATGTCTTATTTTTGAATATCTTTACTATTATAGTGAATCCTTACTAAATTTTACAATTTTTTCCCTTTTAGTATTTAGCATTTACATGTGGCTTAATCAGAGGTGGCTTATCAAACTTGGGGATAAAAAGTATTGTAACAGCTGAAGTATCTTCAATGCCTGCCTGTAAGTTGAGTTCACATTTCTTACAAATGTTTTTAGTAATTTTTCCCATTTGTTGTTGTTTTTTTAACTTGGAGGAAATTAAAAATGCTGAAACTATTTCATTTTACTTTTATCAGTTTAAAATTTGATGTAATAATATGTATAGGCAGCATACTGTATTCCTGTTCAATAATTTTTGACTTAATAATGGAAAATGATTTAGGAAAATCTGCTAAATCCAAATTTGGTCCTTTTGTAATTCCTACCCATGATGATTGAGTTTTTATGAGTGTCTGTGAGACTTGCCTCCCTCGATGTCAGCATATGACCTAACTGAGGTGGAACACAGAAAGGAAAGCAAGCCAAGTGCATGAGACAGTGTAAGGGATTATTCTGAAGTTTCAAAAGGAGGTTTCTACAGTGTTCTTTTAAAATAACAAATCTCTCTAGAGCATTGAAATGTTATTTTTTAAAAAACTGTTTACATTATTTCTATTACATAAACCTAAGTAAAGCAAACTAGTCTTTTAACACTAAACTCCCCCCTAAAGATTATTTTACCAGAGCTGTCAATCCAGGAGATTGACTTAAGCTCCATTGTATTTCCTTTTCGTCCACAGTGATATTGGTAATCAAGTACTGTACACAGAAGGTAGGAATCATAAAGAGAGACAGAGGCACCTGCTCAACAAACTAAAAGTCATCCCTTAAAAATGGAATTGACTGGGTGGCTCCTGTAGCTCAGTGGTTAGGGTGCTGGCCACATACACCAAGGCAGGCGGGTTTGAGCCTGGCCCGGGCCTGCTAAATAATGACAACTACAACAAAAAAATAGCTGGTTGTGGTGACAGGTGCCTGTACTCCCAGCTACTCAGGAGGCTGAGGCAGGAGATTCGCTTAAGCCCAAGAGTTACAGGTTGCTGTGAGCTGTGACGCCACAGCACTCTACCAAGGGTGACATAGTGAGACTCTGTTTCTTAAAAAAAGA